GCTAGCCCAAAAACCACCCCCCCCCCCCCCCCACAAAGCCATGCCATGGCTTTCCTCCAACTTTCAGCTCTGTCCTCCACTTCTGGCATCCCACAGTACAACTGAGCGAATCTCCATTCTTTGTTGAGATACACAATTGCTGTATAGGGGGCCAGAACCAAAGACTGGGAGAATGACCGGGAAACCTGTAAATGTGCACCCTGTTTCCAGCCTTATCAAAAGGTACGTGCAATGTTCTGAGATTGGTGACCTGGTACAGCACCTTGCTTTCTATACTTCATATTACTACAATAGTGGAAACATACCATAACTGAGCTATGAGTGCCTGTGACATCAGTGAGGTTGAAATCGAAGTAGGGTAAATAATGGTGTTACTTATGGCAAACTAGATGGTTTCTTCTTTAACCACTTGCTGTCTGCCCGTAGTAAAAAAACGGACGGAACTGCAGCAGTGGCGGGTTGCCGTCGCCAGACGGCATTTTTTTTCTACTCGCGCGCGCCCCCTAGCAGGCACGCACGGGCAGAAAAGACTCGACCAATGCAAACACCCGTTACCGGGTGTTTCACATATAGGCGATCAGCGGCTCCATAGCCCGCCGATCGTCTATATGTGCTCATTTCCAAAGCCCCCGACCCCTCACCTTGAATCCCGGGATCCGCTGCCCCATCTGCGGCCCGGGACCGGCTCGGAGGGCGTCAGGAGGAAGAGGACGGGAGATCAGCTCCTTGCTGATCTCCGTCCGGGCTGTGAATGCAGAAGTGATGTGTATTACATCACTTCCGCATTCACCTGTCAGTCATCTGGCTGCTATAGCCAGAGAGAAGAAGCTGATAAAGCAGATCTCTGCTTCATCAGCTTCTTTTGGGGTCCACAGGTGATATTAGGGGTCCTAGAGACCCCTAATGTCTCCATAAAGAGGACCTGTCAGTGTGCCTTTGCTATTATATAGGAGGATTGTTATCCCCCCATATAATAGCAAGTGCAACAAAATAAATATAAATAAAAAAGTAAAATAAAAGTCACATATAAAAAAAGGGGGGAAAAAACCCCCAAAATGTTTAACTCCCCCACCCCCACGAAAAAATTTTTAATTTCGGTAATTTTTCCTTAATATAGTAAAAAAAATAAAAACCCCCAGTGGTGAATAAATACCACCAAAAGAAAGCTCTATCTGTCCCCAAAAAAGGGTATAAAATTCATTTCAGTACAGCGCTGCATGACGGAATAAATGTCAAAGTACCTCAGCGCTGAATACTGAAAAATGGCCTGGATGGGAAGGGGGTTTAACACCGCGGATGTCAACTGGTTAAAGCTGCATCTGAAAAGTGAAAGCTCCGGTCTGTGTGAAATCTCAGCTGCTTTTCTGTGCATTGGCTGCCCACTCATCTGTGCAATAGTCCAATATACTACAGTTTTTCAGAATGCTCTTGTTCCTTCTCTTTTTATGTACATTTTCTTTTAGAATACAGTTTTTAATTAAAACATATTTGTGTCTTTGCAGTATAGTAGCAGTTCTGGAATTAGTTATGAAAACCTTGGACCGGAAGAGCTCCATACATTGCTAACGACGGTAAGGATATTGGCAGATTGAGCTCCACCTCTCTGACTTGTGCTTTTTTTGCTTGCACGTATGCTGACATTGCGGTTGAGCTCCTTCTTTTGGATTTCTAGTTATTTGGAGGATCTTTACCTTGGCCTTTTGTATAGGATGTAAATTACATGGCAGCATGTTACAAGGATTCTTCAGAGCACCATAAAAGCAAGTACAGTATTGCCACCTGGCTACATAGTTACAGCAGGGGTGTGAGAATAACAAGTGTGGTAGAATTACAAACATAAAACACTTCCTGGAATTCATCGAGTGTCGTAGATGCTCTTTGGAGATCTGTCTTGTGGTAGTACCACAAATGGAGAAAGTTATGACAGATTTATGTATGTGTTGGTAAGGTGTATACACCAATCTGTTACAACGCTCACGGAACTGTCACAGGCGTCTCTCCTGTAAAAACAGAGAAGCTATTTGGGGAAGTTGGGTGGAAACGTCTCAAATATCAGTTCCACAGGAACTTAAAGACTAATTTTGTCGCAGAATTGTGTCTAAGATGCGTCATAGTCAGCAATTTACTCCAAAATTGAAGAGATCTTCTTTTTTTTTTTCACCTTCATGGTGGTATTTGTTTTTTATCCACCTTATTAATGGAGCAATTTTGTAATTTTTGCGCACACATACTACAATCTGAATTTCTGGATATAAATTTACTTTAATCCCCAAAAAGTACATATTTTCAGACAGTAGAGGCCCTGTAGAATATCTATCTTTTAGACCCCTGATGTCTTCCCTGGCCTCCAGTACAGGGGATCAAGCACAGCCCAGCACATCAGCCGGCTTTGTGACAGCTGTGAGCACAGTGCTTCCTTACTCACTGATCACAGAGCAGATGGGAGAATGGACGTTCCCCGGGCTGCCCCTGCTCTCCATCCTGACACTAATTGCCATGTCCCGGGTCCCCCAGAGGAGCCACCTATGCAAGCTGTTAGAAGTGATCTGGGCGGCTGTACAAAAATCAGCAATAGCCTGCTAAAAAAAATTCAGCAGCAGCCATAGCCATGATCTTGCTATAACTACTTCAGGACCAGGAGGTGTATATATACATACGATGGTCCTGAAGTAGTTAGTTTGTTGCAACAATCGCAGCATACAGTAAAAGGGTTGCAAATAGGATCTACTTGAATTTGTCACACTTCTTGGTATCGACAATGAAAGTGTTGCAGGATTTTCATGAACTTGGCACAATGAAAAATTCACTGTGGCTATTCCTTTTGTGATTTTGGAGTTTTGCACCCCAGATGTGCCTAGTAGGGTGAAATGATTCCCAGGAGCCATTTGCAAAGGTGTGCAGAGGTTATGATTTTCAGGAAATGTATTTCTAGGCATCTTAGTCTTTTACATGGAGAGCATTATACCACCAGAATAAAAGCTATGGGGTGTGGCACTGTGAGTATGTTCATGCCCTATGGTCATTTCTCAATACCAGAAAACAAAGTGTGTTGTCGCTGAGTCATACAGGCAATACATGTGATGGCATGCTCTTAGAACATTGGGACTATTGTATGAGCGCTGAAGGGAACTGATGTGTGTATGTACAGAAAAAGTCTGGATCTTTGCAGCATCAGTAACCTGTAGATGGTGATTTCAAAGCTATCTCAGCCTCATCCATTGCAGATGTAATTGTTGTTGACACAAATGTCGCTTCCTTTCTTAGTGACAGATGTCTCCAGGAAGTGACTAGCAACTTCCCCAGAGGGGGTGCAGATGTCAGTAAAAACTCAAAGCCTTCCCCACTCTATCCAAAAGTAAAGTTTTGGCTAGATTATCACTTTCTGCCTTTTTTATGTAACCCGCAGCTTTACCTAATCCTTTCTTGAATCTTTTGTTATTTAATAGACCCGGATACACATTTATATGGATTTCCAGGTCTCTGGCTGTAACTTGTCCTCTACTTATGGCAGAACGGTGATCCCGCAGCTCAAGTCCATTGTGGCTTTTGTTTCACGGTTTCTGCTTGTTAGAAAGTCCTGTGTTCGCTCACAGAACTGTAATGAATTATCAATTAATGACAAAGGTTTAAATTGATGGTAAACCACTGAATCCTTGGTTTGATTTTGCCATAATGTGCACAGTATACACATTATGGCGCACTTACAATATTCATCTGTATGATGAATCCTCTATCTCCCACTCTATTCTCCACCGCTGCCATCTCTGTTGCTGATACTTCTGGGTTCCGTGGGAATCCTCTTAGGCCATTGGGTGATCACTGATGATGTAAATCCTGCGAAGGCACACGGGGGTTACATCCTCCCCAGAACCCGGCCTCGTCGCAGCTTAGAGATGCCAAGAGTGAGAGGAGTATGTAGACTGTAAAATAACTAGGGGAAAGAGGGAGACTTTGCATGTCTTCTTCCAAACAATCCCTACCTCCTAGCAAATCTTCTTTATTTCTGCTATAAAATCATTGCCTCCTCGTTCCTCTTCCTACAAGGGCACATTACAGATGCTAAAAAGCCAATATGTTCTGAGCCACAGAGGAATTATTTCATAGTATGGCTATGAGCGTTTCTGGTGCACATAGTTCTATGATGGCTTTCCTTTTATTTTTGCACAGAAAATAAATCTCCCTTTTACCTGGTTGCTTCGATGTTGACTCTGCACATTGCTGAGTTTTGTGCCATTTGGCCCCCTCTGTAACCATGCTCTGTAGTACACCATTGTCTTTCTGAATTGGGATTTGTTCTCTTTTAGCAATGTGGAGTCATATCGGAACATACCAAGAAGATGTGCACCAGGTCAGTGGGATACGGAATGCATTTGTGTGTTATTCATAGACTTAAACGTGAACATTTCAACTGTGGAAATCATTTCCCTAGCTGATAGACAAAGGACGACTTGTTGCTATGGCAAAACATCTCTACTGCTGTCCAAATTTTCCTTTTATGTATTTTTTATTTTCTTTTTTGAAATATAAAACTTTTCATCAGAGAAATGTGTGTTGCTTTTCTCGTCTGCAAATCGTATTTTCTTGGCTGTCTCTACTTCAGTACACGACCGGACACAAATGTGCAGCCGGTGAAGTCCGACTCCCTGACCTGGACCTAGTATACAGATCAGGAGCTCGAAGTATTGATGTTTTCAACAAAAACGGCCGGGCGACTAGCATTTTAGGATGGAGGCCACAAATGGCAGCCTGCATGTGTTTCTCATCCTGACCTTTTTAATTACATTGGAGTTATTTAGCAGGCTCCGTTTGCAAAGACTGTAGTGCAAAAGTTTAAAGAAGTCCCCTTTTTATACATTGATTTTATTTTTAAATTTGTGTGCCGCTAAGCTCCAGGCCAGATATAAAGGTCATAGGTAGGTAGCTGGGAGGTGGCCAAGCTGTACTGAATAACTGCAGTAGCGCAGAGTCAAGTCACCAGCCTGGCTCTGCCCTCTGGTAGGTTGTGCAAATCTTAGAACTGGATGGACAAACAAAATACATTGGCAGGTAAAACGGCTCCCATATTTGTAGTTCAGCTGGATGTTTTATCTTTTAGAGTTGAGCTTTAAAATAGGAAGTCAGCAGGTACTGGTAGCAACCCATACTGCTTAGACAATACTATCAAGTAGCTGATTAAAAAATGCTCTATATATCTTGTGTATTGTATAATATTCTTGTGCTGCTCCTTACAGGTCATTACGATGTCCCCAACATACGGATGACCAGCGTAGATCTGTCAGAGTTTACCTCCTAGGCTCCTCTGCGTAAGTGTTAAGGCATGTGGTGACCCACATTGGTGTCAGCTGACGGCTCCTCTACAATACCACTGCTTACACAGCCCTCTTCTCCCTCATAGGTCTCTCCCAGAACCTGATGGCAGTACAGACAATGACAGCTTTGATGTGGTGGAAGGCCAGGGCCTGATGAGTAGGCTTCCATGGGATGGATCCTCGGATATCTCCCCTTCCGACTCTGCCTCATCCAAAGCCAGTAAGATATTTAAAGTTTGGGAGAAGCACCCTGTCTCTGAAGCCTTAGACAACAGTAGGAGGGGGGATAAGTCACTGCTCCAATTAAGTCACTTGTCTAAATTATGCCTTGAGCTATTGAGCCTGTAAACTGCAGTGATAAAAAGAGAAAAATGACAAACCAATATTCATATTATATTTTAAGTTAAAACTGTGTTCTTGAGGAGCGCATCAGATTCTAGGCCCAGGCTGTACATAAGGCCTTGCCTTCTGCCCTAATCAGGGTTGGTCCCCACCCAGCACTTAGTCCCTTGTAGACCAAAGTGTAGTTTGTCCGATTCTTCACCTATTGGTCCTGGAGTAAAACCAAAACTTAGAAGCACGGCCCATTACCCACCATTCCCAATCTTTATTTCTTTAATTAATTAAAGCATGTAACAGATCTGACGGGTTGCTATGGCCCATGCCTTTCCTTTTGCTGGTCCTCTCAACTTTGTTTTTGTTTTACACACATTTTATTGAAAATATGAAAGATAATAAGGTTACAAATACGAAAGCCAAAAAACAAAGAAAAAAGGAACCGGATGAGCACAGTAAACAAAAATAAATATCACATTGATGATGAAAGGATCTGAGATCTAAAAACAAGGTTCAAGTTAACGCAGTAAGGATCTACTCCCGTATGAGGATATATACTGCAGACGGGTACGAATAATGAGAGCAGGAGTAATGCATATAGGTAGGGCTATACCGATACTGGCACCGATGCCAAGTATTTGGGTGAGTGCTCATACTCGCCAAAATGCTCCGATGCCTAGCTCGATACTTCTGGTATCAGGAAGCCTGGCAGTGCGTCATTACACGCTGCCTGGCTTCCTGATTGGCCGGGAAGCCGGCTCCATGCTCTCTCGTCTCTTGTGTAACGGCTCCCTGCGCAGCTTCCTGATTGGTCGGGAAGCTGGCCAATCAGGAAGCCGGGCGCCGTGTAATGACGTGACACCCGGCTTTCTGATTGGCTGGGAAACCGGCTTCATGCTTCCTCGTCCCGTCATGAGGCGGGAGCATGGAGTTGGCTTCCTGGCCAATCAGGAAGCCGGGCAGTGCGTCAATACACGCTGCCTGGCTTCCTGATTGGCCGAGAAGCCGGCTCCATGCTTTCTTGTCGCCTAGTGATGAGCGTCAATGTCCTCCCAGTGGGGTATTTCATGGGTCGCATGGTATTTAGAGAGTTGACTGGTCCTCCCAGTTTTTAGATCTTCTATATATCACATGTTTCAGCAGTTTTTTTTTTGTATTTTCTTCCTTTTTGTCAGCAATGAAAGATAACTTGTTCCATGAATTGTTCCCTGTCTGCTGCTTTCCAGGCACGAATAACTCAGACACTCGGAAACCCAAGAAGAAAAAGCCAAGTCATATCAGCATGGGCAGCGCAGGGGGCGGAGGAGCCAGTAAAAAAAAGAAACCCAAAGCCCCCGCCCCGCACACACCTGGAATGTACAGTGAACTCAACTGAGACAAAGGACGTTGCCATGCCATGGACCAAATGCCAGTGGGTCTGTTTGTACACAGGCGGTGGCCTTCATAGCACATTGGCTGCAAATGGTTAAAAGCGGGCTCACCCATCCACCCCCCCCCCCCCCCCCTCTTTTTTCAAGCGATAAACCTACTACTGTGAAAAACAAGGTCCAAAAAGCAGTGTCTGTACGACAGGAAGATGTAATGCCTTACATAAGGCAGAGTACAATCCTCCATCAAGCTTTTTCTGACATCTCCTTGTGCTGCCATGTTGTGTATGCCACATCTCTGCTGCCTGTAACGTCATGCCCGATTGTGGGAAAGTGGCCGTGGCAAAGAGTTTGGGAGGAAAACCGGGGGGTGGGGCCACAGAGAACCGGAGGTCAAAATGGAGTTCTTTGCGGAAATTTCACACCCTCTTTGAAGTGTTAGACCTCTGCTGCTGAGTCATATAGCGACATCAGGTCTGTCAGCGGATAACTGGACCCTTTTTTTTTTTCCCTTCCCTCTCCGGTGAGACGACAGGGCTCTGCCCTCCCCGTGCTGTATCTCTCATCTCTGGAACTTTCTGGAATGTGAGGCCGTAAACTTGAAGACTTGCAAAAAAACCACACGTGACCTCATCACTTCAGGCACAAAGTGTTCTAGGTGTTTGGTGTGCGGGCCCTGGTGCCGGCCGGGGACGGTGGCATCAAAGTGTATCTGCCTCTGGCAGGTGGAGGGTTTAAAGGATCTCTTGCACGTATTAAAAAACCCTAAAAATCACACTAAGTATTTCGTTGCAAGCCCATGTGCTTCATTGTAAATGTGTATAATGAGTGCATCCGTCACATTGTAATTATAGGAAAGAGAATCATGTAAAGGCAAAGGGACTTTGGCCACAGACGGGTAAAGGAAAGGCCATATTGCTGTAGGTGTAATCTGACAGTGTTCGCACAGGTGATTGTTTTTGTTGTGATAAAGACAAACAAAATTGTATTCATTGTGTTTCCTATGGCTGGTTTTGGGGGGGGGGGAGGTGTGTAAATAAAGCAGACCTGTTACAAGCTCAGGTAAGTGGAAATGATGCCCCAGTTGCATAGTAAGTTATTCTTTCGTTACTCTCCCCTTTCTACCCCAATGGGCCACAGTAAAAAAAAAAAACGTGAAAGCGTATCTAAACACAATAACAGAAATGTAATATTTTTGAACTACGAACAGCTAAAACCTAACACTATCAATGGAATATTTAACAGCCTAAACACGCGGGGGGGGGGGTATAGCATGTCACCATTCACATATCATTTTTAGAAATTGGAGGTGTGTTGGCAGGCATGCGAACAGAAAAAAAAAATGGCACCCGTGGAATGGCCTGCTATGTGCTTGCAGGGTAGCTTTGCTTTGTTTGCCTATGTAGCAGGTGTGCTTCAAGCTTGATGCATTGTTTCCCTTGGCAGAAGATGCTGACGTGGCAGATGTTAGGCAATCACATTGTTGTGACTTGACAGAGGGCCTATTGTGCACTGTAAGCAGCAACCCATCAGGAATGTATCTGTCAAAAATAAATCAAGGCAGCTGGACTTGGTGAATTCTTCTTGAAGATGTTTCGGTGGTTTATCTGACCTAGCTTTCTCAATTCTAATTTAATTCTGAATTGAGGAAGCTAGTCCGATGACCAGCAAAAGGCCTTCTAAGAAAAATACAGCTAGTCCAGTTGCTTTGATTTATATTTTACAGATATACCATGACCTGGATGAATGAGAACCTTCAGACTCATCAGGAATTAAAGCAGATATTATCAGTCTATCATTGTGATATGAGATGCCTCCTGAAAACAGCCTTTGCTAGTTACAGAGCCAGAGGACTTAGTTGCTTCGGGGCATAAACACGCACACACACACGATTTTTGTGTCTGACTACATTGTAATTATTTTTTCTTTTGCATTCTGATTTCTAGAAGCTGCATTTTATAACTTGCAACCACTGCTTTTATCCTTTTGCGGTCTGATCAGGGCCATCTGTCAGTTTTTCAAGCAGACCTGATCTGGTGCCCAATGTTAGTCTATAGGCAGCTGTCATTTACACCCAGTTACCCCCCAATCCAGCCAGGTCCAGAGAAACTTAACGGATCAGAGATCTGTTTCACCGACCCCCATAACCTGATATGGAGTCTGTTAATTTCAGTGTTTCCCTCCATAACAAGATGGAGGCAAAAACTGGACGGACACGGATGTCTCAGCAGTGACATCCACTCCATACTGCTGATCAGGAGGGGATCCTTGCACGAATCCCCTCTTGATTAGCCTGTGTGAAAGGGGCCTTACTTTAACACATGTCCTTACAATGCATCTTTGATGCTAGGGGTGCAAAACACTAAACATGTGATTCCTTGTCCTAAGCAGCATAGGAAGTTCACTGAACCTGTCTGTAAATACACTTTAAAAATCCATGCGTTTGTGCCTTCTAAAATGCACAAGTGTGGGCATTCCTTAAGATTATGGCCTTAGAGACGACGTGTGCCAAGAGAAATACATGGGCTGCCATTTCTGACCTTTTGGCTGTCTCTGGCTTCCGTCATGAACCAGGAAGAAGTCAGCATTGGTAGCATACCTGTGCCATGAAAACCAGTTATTTAAATGCATAGTACCCCAAAGTATCCATGTTTCCTTCCGAAATTTCAGACCAGTAGGTGAACTAGGTTATTGCCACTTCCAGTCCTGCTAAATCTTGAGAATTGTTTTAAGCAGGAACTCTTTGCCCTGTAGTGAAGTCATTTTTAATGTAAGCTTTTCCTTGCTAAAATAATTTGAAGTAGCAGCCTGAATACAGTGCAAGTATGGACCTTTGCTTGGGGTCTTCAGCTCCCAAGGTGTCCACCTAGCAGTTGTGTAGCCAATGAGGCTTTACAGAAGAGTGGGCCAAGCCTCAAATCCACACCCCCCCCC